CTTTCTAATCTCCAAGTTCAACAATCATTTTTAGAGACAGCTGAATTTTAATCTATTGTAAATAAGTATTCTAATTCACTTTGATCTTTATTTTATTCAGTTGAATCGATTTGGCATATTTGTACCACTGCTAAACCAGGTTAAACATGAACAATGTATTAAACTTATTTCTATTCAATAGACATTTTACCATATACTATCATAACAAATTATTATAGGATATGCTAATTGTTTTATATTATTGTATTCTTTCAAATTTTTTTTTATTTTCTATTTGAGAATTAAACATTTAATTTTGTTTTTTATAAATCTTAATGAAAATATCATACGCCGAAAAATAAATTTAAATGAAAAATTATGTAATTCAATTTATAAAAATGAGAGAATAGTTAGATTTTAAAAACGTCATTTTTAAAGGAGAACACTAGTATTAAGTAAAGGTTTAACAATTTTGCAAAAACAAAATATTTTTTGAAAGACCAAGCCTTTTATTGATAATTAATGAACAGCAACGAACCTATAATGATAATTTTTTCTTAGTTTTTGGTTATATTCGAAACGCAGTAACTAAAAATGTGAATAAGCTGTTGCTGTTTAACTAAATAATGAATCCAATAATCTTTAAAAAATGATAATTAAGCAACAATCAACTCAGGGTATATTCATGATTTGACTATTTTGTAAAATTTCTCATGAATGTAAATGGGAAAAAAAATTAAAAAAAAATAACTTTAATTTAAAAATTAAAGAAATTTAAAGGAATCTTAAAGCACTAATCATTTATTTGTTGAGGTGAAATTTAGATAAAGTTCCTTAATACTAAAAATCCTAATCATTTCGAATCCTAGTACACAAAATCTTATGCATGCATCAATTGTTATTTTTTTTTTCATATTTTTCTTTTTCACTTCTAGTTTGTTTGAACTTGCATTTGCTAAAGTTGGAGAATAATACATTTTACACATTTTATTTATAGACACAGCAAGAATAAAATCAAGTTTTGAACGATTCGAATTCCTAGCTTCAAGATATGGAATTCTCATCTTTTATATCTTTTATGTTGAGAAATTATGTTCATAGATTGGTATGGCTTTATTTTTAATAAAGGGAGCAAACGTAAAATATGCAAAATGGGTAAGATATTGTATTTTAGGCTTTCATTTTTGTACCTCTATGGATCAAATTTCATTAAATTCGGAAAAATATCTTTATTTTTATTAAATATACACATTACCTCTACCACTAATAAAGAATTAAATTATTATCATTGTAAGAGTAGATCTTAATTCTACTATAAGTCCCCTATAAATATCTGATCACAGACCCTTCTAAATTGAGATTTCTTTAAGGTAAGAAAATCTATCTATGATTCCCATTATTAAACCCTTACAGATACATCTGTACTTATATGAACATCAAGAGATATAGACTGTCTTCTAATCCTGAAAGTTTGTAATTAACTTAAATAGTTTAGTGTAGAATATATAAAATATGGCTATGCATTAATATGACTTTTCCTAAACCTGGAATTTTAAAGCCTAAACTCTTACTAAACAATCAAAATAATCTCATAGATTTAAAAACTCGAGAATTTAAATCTTTTTGAAAAAGAAGGATCAATTATGATTTGTTTTAAAAGAGATTTTGAAATGGTATAAGACGATGAATAAATTCTTCACTGATGTATTGAAAAACTAGTTTAAATTCAAAAATTTTAAAGTCTTGATTACAAGATCAAATGTTCTGATCTAATAAAAAAGCTGTTTAATTTCATTTATCTTAACTTTAATACCTAACTTAATTCATTTCTAAAGGCAATGAAAAACTATATGATGATATATTCTTAATGAGATTAGTTCCTTTAATAAAAGCTCATCCTAATCTTCCAACTATTGATCAAATCAGCAGAGTTATTTTCTAAAGCAACTAGAAGCCTTGTTTATACCTAAGTTTAGAGAAATTTGCACCATAAATTTAATAACTCATAAATTGGATTTGTAAGAAAACGGCCTGGCCTGTTAAGATTTTTTGTTAAATTATTGAGTTCTTAAAAAAGAAATTTAATAATTAGAACTAGTTACCAAAATCTGTGATTTTCTATGAGTTCTAATGAACTTAGTTTTTTAGGAATGGATTTATGACTCTCTATCTTTTGTTGATCCTGTTTTAAAGTATAAGGTATTTCTAAATCTAGAGCACATTTAGCTCCTTTCTTACTTGATATCTATTTTAAAGAAGTTATTGTAAATATGATTGTATATGCTTAAAAGAAGTAATTTTCTCTCCAGCAGATAATAGTGTAAGGGAATTTAA